CATAAGATACAATAATTTTGATTATATGGTGCAAAGCCAAAAGAAAGGATGATAATAAAAATTAATTAAAAATTTATAGTTAAATAATGCAGGAAAATAATCATGTTTGGGGCAAATTATACCGGGATAATTATTCATCCCTGATGAAATTTTCTGGATTAAATTTCAATCCATTTCAACCCCCATTATTTTCCACTTTAATGATTAATTTTTTTAAGGCTTGCAAGTATTAAAATTATTAAAATTTTATCTAAATTTTGAGGTAATGTTTGAACTAAGGCCTTGAATCCCGGAAACCGATGTCCTTGAATTTTGAGGTTATGTTTTATCTCTAACCTTGAATCCTAGAACCATGAAGTAGTATAAGGAGCACTCACTGCTTGTTAAGCATATAGGCCCCTTGCATGAGAATAAATCCGAAATTAAGGCGCATTCAGACCTCTCGGCTGCCTGTCTGCCTGCTGCAGTTGCCATGGTAACATAATGGGAGTGAGTGAAACAGACAAAAAATTTAAATTTTCTGCTTCACTCACTCTTATCATGTTACCATAGTAACTACAGCAAGCAGGCAGACAGCCGAGAGGTCTGAATGCGCCTTTACATATCTCCGATTATGACGCCTCTAGCGGAAAAGCGATGTACTTAGAAGTTTTCAAAATATGGCTGCGCCTAGTGACAGCTGTTCTCATATAGTAAACAGTGTAAAGTAATATATAATAATTTTAGAAAAAGTGTACAAATTTTTAATCTCAATAAAACTATTTGACTTGACTTGTAAAGAAAGAAAAAAGTTACACACAAAAATTTTAAATAAAACATAAATTTTTTGAAAAATTTTTTTTTTGAAAATATATTTGAAAATTGGTAAATTTTTGCTTATTTATATACGAATATATAATTTAGATTTTTAAAATATTTATTTTCAATTATATGTTTCATAATAAAATAATAAAGGAATTGCAATAATTTGTTGTAAGTTATATAAAAATAATAAAAATATAAATAATTATTTTTATATTGTAGCCGTATATATTTCAAACGAAATTTCTTAATTTTTTTTTATTTTTAGGTTATATTTACATGTAAAGAAACAAAATTTAATGACAAGTTCAGCAAGTATTTTGTTAACATTCAAATACATACAAAATAATTTGTATCAAGTAAAGTTGCCTGTGTTAATGCTGATTCATTGATCAATTTAGCAGTCTCATTTTTCACTTTTTTTTATTTATAATTACACAAAATTAACTCGCATCAAACACATTAAAAAAAAAAAACGCCAACTGACAGTTATACATAAACACTTATATAACAATGTACCACGTGACATGTAATTCCTCGCTTTTCTGCTAGGGTTGTTAGTATCGGGGATATGTAAATGCTTCGTCAGAAGTTTCATTAACTTTGATTGGCTTTGCTCATAGAGAATTTCAAAATTTTCCTATATTTTGGAAATTCTCCATGAGCAAGGCCACTCAAAATTAGTATAACTTTTGACAAATTCTGAATATACTTAGAATTTGTGAGGTGCACAAGCGCCTTAAAAGATGGCCCTGTTTTCGGTATTCACGGTTCTCAAGTTTTCACCAATCTAATTACACTTGCGCCAACCGCGGGAAATTGTGGTATTAAAGCTAAACTGCGCAACTGTAATTAGATACATATTGGTGAAAACTTGAGAACTATGAATACCGAAAAATGCTACATTCCGTTAGAGCCGGCTATAGGTGATATGTCTCCTTATATTACTTCGTGCCTATGCCCTTGAATTTTAAGGTTATGTTTGATCCATGACCTTGAATCCTGGAGACATAGGACCTTGAATTTTGAGGTTATGTTCGTTTTAATACTAATATAGGTAGATATATGGGTCGTTCCGCGTCAATTCGCCTGTGGATTTGAGGTTAAAATTAGAAATCAAATACTAATATAGGTATATGTGGGTCATTCCATATCAAGAGTAACCAACCTAATCTGGTCAAAATCATGTGTTGGGTACACTTGACATGGAATGACCTATACTGGCCGAGACAACGGCGATATATATAAGGTAGATTTTTTGCATTGAAGATAAATTTCTTTAAGTTAGAAATCTTTCATAATTCATCTGTAATAGGCTGTGAGATTTGCAATATGGATGATGATTCAAAATGGAAAAAAGTCTTACTCCCACAATTCGACATTCGAACAATAGAAATTGCCGCAGGAGTGTATATCTTCTTTAATTTACCACTCGATTAGTCATAGATCATAAATGCACTCTTGCTAAACTATAAGCGATCTAACATATAGGGTACCTTGTGACATTTTGATGGGACAGCAACTGCGCTTGGCCAGAGTCAAGGTTGCAATATTATATATTATATAGAGCAACTTGCTCTTACGAATAATGTCATGTTATAAGTTTTGATATTTTAAATCAAAAGGATATATCATGTTCAGTATACAATAAAACCTACACAATAAATCGGATTTGTTATTTTAGTTTTTCTCGTATTATATTTGCATGAATATAAATTTTGTTTGATTCAAAGTTAGTATATTCTTGATATATATTAAATTTAAATGAAAAATAATTGATCTAGTACATTATACAGACAGAATAAATTTTAACTTAAAATCATCATCTTCTTCTTCTTAAATGACTTGTGGCGTAGCCGAGTGTCAGAACAATAAACTTAAAATCATCTCCGAACGATACAGGAAAAATAATTTTTTAGGTTAAGAATTATGTCAAAATCTTAGGGTACGGTCACACTATCTCATGCATGCAAAAACATTTGGCCGGTCACACTTCAATAAAATCTAGTGAATGCTTAACAGGGTTGCACAGTTACGCGTAACTTAGAGTTTTTTACGTAAATTACATAGGTTTTTTACATTTGTAAAATACGTATAATACCCCCCACCATTGAAAAATGCATTGTTTTTGAAAAATTTCAGGTAATTTACATATGTAATATACGTAAAAAAATCTGTTATTTGCCTGAGGTATATTACATACGCAACTCTGATGCTTAGTAATTTTTTAGTTGCAACCAAAATTTTTGGAAAATTACTAGATAGTTACTAAACGTTCACTAGATTTCGTTGAAGTGTGATGGAGCATTTACACCTTTGGTAAAAAAATATTTTACTTTGGTTTTCCGAAATGCAAAAATCTGATTGGTTGTCCATTATCAATCAGATTGTGAACACCCAATCAGGTTTGTGTATTTCGGAAAATGCAAAATAAAATTTTTTTTACCAAAGGTGTAAATGCTCCACGACCGGCCAAATGGTTCTGCATGCATGAGATAGTGTGATCGTACCCTTATTGATAATAAATATAGGGTTGGTTTCCATTGTCCCCACTCGCTATTTGTCATAAATCTTGTCGAACTACCGCTCCCTGCTCTAGTGAAAATTTAGTAATTTTATAGTAACTTTTAATTTTAACAATAAAATCACTAGTTTCACTGGAGCAGGGTGCGGTAGTTGAGGAGAATTATGACAAATGGCGAGTGGGGATAATGAAAATCAATCATAACATAAACAGTGGAACATCCGACTTGTGACACTTTGCACGAAATGGTAGCTTTTGTTAACACATAGCGCGGAACTAGAATAGAGTAAAGCAGGGTGAAGTAGATAAAGATATGGCATATTTTGGACGTTCTTCGGGAAGTCTTATGGAAATTTACATGTGCCCATTCTAAACTAACCTTTAAGTTAATTAACAAATAATGAAAGTAATAGATATTTTCCATATATATTATTAAAATAAAACTTATAAATTGTTAAATTAAAAAAAATCGTTTAACCCTTTCATGGCCAGTGGGACACATACGTCCCACCTACTTCAAAAAATCATAACTTTCTTAAAACTTAATCGAATAACTCCACTAAGATCTCATTTTGAAGGGGAGGGATAGAGTAACAAATGTAAATACATGTATTTTTTTAAAAAACTACCCTCTTTGAAATACACCCCTTCAAAAAACCCGAAAAATGAGAAAAATGAAAAAACAGGTATAAATTTCAGAAGAAATTTTTTTTTCAGGCTTTCATAGTAACATATGTTTAAAAATATTGCAACCTTTGTAAAAAAAAATTAATATTAAAAATTCAACCCGAGGGTGCAGAAAAATAACTAAAACTACCCCTAAAAACCAAAACCTTTAAAAATTAATAAATTCGCTTGAAAATTGTTACTTGGGGGTTTTCGGGGTCGCTGATTACGAATCCGATGTCCGTTTTCAAAAATTCAAAATGGCGGATCCAAAATGGCGACCGATAATTATAAAAAATTACTAGATTCGCGTGAAACTTATCACTCGGGGGTTTTCGGGGTCGCTGATTACGAATCCGATGTCCGTTTTCAAAAATTCAAAATGGCGGAACCAAAATGGCGACCGATAATTATAAAAATGTACTACATTCGCGTGAAACTTATCACTCGGGGGTTTTCGGGGTCGCTGATGACGAATCCGATGTCCGTCTTTAAGAATTCAAAATGGCGGATCCAATATGGCGACCGATAAATATAAAAATTCACTAGATTCATGTGAAACTTGTCACTTGGGGGTTTTCGGGGTCGCTGATTACGAATCCGATATCAGATTTAGAAAATTGAAAATGGCGGATCCAATATGGCGGACGAAATGATTAACTTTCATTAGATTCATCTGAAACTTATTACTCAGGGGTTTTCGGGGTCGATAATTACGAATATGATGTCAGTTTTTAAAATTGCAAAATAATGCTGGTGTCATTATTGCCTATTAATTTTGTAGCTTTTAGTGCCTGTTGTTAGGAGTTTAGTATGAAAATGAAAATTACAGACCCAGGCTCAATCGGTGAGGTAGTGGGAGAACGCTACACAGAGAAAACGAAACGACGCGCTGATTGCCTTATAACAGCAGTTCCACATGGGAGCTTCTTTGCTACTGTCGTACCCCCCCCTTTCATTTACCCAATGCACTCCCCTCTACGCCATCGTGGAGGGGAGTGCATTGAGTATGTACTCAATGCATTACTCAATATGATAATAATCAGTGAAAATTATTTTTTTGATTGTTGAAAACTGAATCCAGTATCTTATAACTTATGAATTAGGGGTGGATTTCAAGGGTAGGGGGTGAGTTTATTATTATTATCCATATCTGTGAAACATTGAAATACTTTTTTACAATTCAGAAGCACTTAGAATCCATATAATTTTTTCATTTATTCACAAAAACATTTATCATTAAGGGGTGGTTATTTGACTTAAGGGTTGTTTTTCAGGGGTTGTTTATATTCAGTATTAATACTTAGTTATCATAGAAAATTTTTTTTTTCATATTTTCGAAAATCAGTGAAAATTATTTTTTTGATTGTTCCAAACTGAGAATAGTTATGAATTAGGGGTGGGCTTCAAGGGTAGGGGGTGAGTTTATTATTATTATTATCTATGTCTGTATAACTTTCAAATAATTGTTTATAATTTAGAAGCAATTAGAATCTATAGATTTTTTTTAATCATTTACAAAAACTTTCACCGTCAAGGGATGATTATTTGACTTTAAGGGTGTTTTCAAGGGGTTATTGATCCTTTTCAATTTTTAAGCAACCAGGCAATGTTTATAAATAAATAAAAAGTAGATAAGAGCTGAAAAATATTTAATTCATCAATTTGGTTAAATATCAGTTTTTTGGGGTAGTAATGTACCGTGGGGGTGGTTTTAAGGGGTGAGACATGTTAAAAAAAATTTTTTTCTCATACTGAATACTTTAGTAATTAAATCTAATATACATTATAAGTCTAAAGTAACGACAAAAAACTCGGCCATTAAAGGGTTAAACAAATCTCTGCATTTAAATTTAGAATTCTATTTTCAAATTGTAATCATTAATGAGTACGTACATGGTTTTTTTGAATTAATGCTACTTTTTTCAATGTATAAAAATAATTAAATTTTTTTTATCTTCTGGAGTTATGTTGTAAAAACGATTACCTAAAAATATAAACCTTAAACATTTAATTCAACTTTTTTATTATAATTATTAAATTTTACAATTATATTTTTACCAAAAGATGTGAACGGATGCAACCGCTGTGTTGCATATATGACATCATCGTTGTTCATGCCAAAAGATAATTATAAACACAGTGGAATCACGTACCATTCACCATGCGTTATTAGTTATTATATATATATATATATATATATATATATATATACACCATGAGCTCAAGGGAAAAACAGTCCCGCGTAGGTAAGAATAAAATTTTTTTCTCATACATTCACGTGTACATACATATTTAATTCTATATTTTAAAATGGTATATGTGAGTCTACATATAATGCAAATATATAAACATACACAAATGAAAGACGATTAACATTTTATCGCATCGCTCGATTGCTCACAAGATAAAGAATCAATTGGTCGTAGGATACGACACACGTATCTACCTACTGCATAATACAATCATATGGGCTAAGTCTTATAACAACACACAAATGTCTATTTAACGGACTCGTAACACACTATTTTATTCCGTGGGATATCTGCCCACTAGTACCAGTTCTTCTGTCCTTGGCCTATATATTAGTTACCTTAGATTCGAACGTAGGTGAAATTTTTTCCATCCCCCCAGGTAATATATACAATAAATCGATTCCTATGTACACTGTTGTTTTATTTTTATCAATAAATCTAGTCTAAATTATTTCATTCTTAACTTATTTAATATACTATTTAATTTTTATTATTATTTTCTATCGAAAAACCATCACTTGTGATTCTTATATTAGAATCCGTTAAATACCAATGTTTAATATGGTGCCGTTACAAAGTGAGGAAAAACGGAATTTTTTAAAATCAACAATTGGTATAGTCTAGATATATTAAATTTCAATGATAAATTCAGAAAAAAATAAAGAGCAGAAACACCTAACGTAAATAATCGAGAATTTTTATTTCTTATTCGTCATCTTTTGGAAACAATCGGGGATACTATATTTCGTAGAGACCTCTGTATTCTGTTCTATAAACTTTAATACACTTTTTACAAACTTCGATACACTCAAACTAGAAATTCAAATAATTTCCTCTTTTTCCCTAAATGGGAGAAGATTTTAATTGTTTATAACTTTAACAACCAATTTTCTTTTATTGGTAATGTCACCTTGAGTAAACGGTCTAAGCTTTTATTCGAAAAATTTTTTTATGAAAGCAAATTAATCGTAATTTTCTATCCAAGCTTTAGTTTAGAACCACTTCTCTACTATCGGGCCAAAAGTAATAGGCTCCTCTCTTTGAAAGCTTATAACTCAGGTAGAAAAAATCGCCTTACATTGCGACAACATGAAATCAATAGGTACACAATGCCTACGTTACTATACGAAATTGCGAAAATCTGAAAAATTTTTTGCGTAAGTTATCGATTTTAGAAGACAAAAAATACATGGTTTTTTGCATCATTTTTATTTAAATGTCCACCATACATCTTGGTAAATTTAATTAATTAATTAATGATAAAAGCCATAAACATACGTTGATAAATGTTCAAAAAGTTTTTCTAATTATGTTACTTTTAATTGAATAATAATTTAATAAAAATTTGACAAGTCCAGAATTTTTTATAACGAGATTCAGTATTTAATAAATTTCATTTTTAAAGAATTACCTTAAATCGTTTTATATAGCTGCTAGTTTCACAAATAATATTAATATTAACATTGCAATATTATTTCAATGCCCTTTTAATTATGACACTAATTTAATAATAGAATTTAAAAATATTTCGTTGAAAACATTTTTAAATTTTCCCGCCATTCGTGTCAACTGATGACGACAAGGCTTGCAGCTTATAAAGACCCGAAAGTTACCCACCTTCAGGTCGTTGGTTAGGTTAGTGGTTAGGGTTCTTGGCTCTTGTGTTGCGCGTCCGGGTTCAATCCCCAGCTCCTCCAAATTTATTTCCGAAAATTGCGCCGTTAATGTTGGGGAAAAATAAAAGAAAGCGCAGTAAGGGAAAAATAAATTTTTTTAATTTTACTTTTATTTAATAAATATTATAAAACATTTATAATAAACTTACCTTATAAAATTCACTGAAAACTTGCATTTTAATTTTACAGGAAATTTGTCTATATATCTTTAGAGTACTTTCCGGAGATAGTTTTAAAGAAATTCACAAAGCAAATTTCTGTAAAACTCAAAATTTAATATTTCCTAAACTTTTATCCACAATTTTTCGGCAAACTTAATCGGATAACTATCCTGAACTTCGCACCGCGAGTTTTAAAACCGAGGACATATAGAGCTCGCCTGAACTTCCCCTGAAGCTCCCCAACTTAGTTTCCGAACTTAACACAGGGAACTCCCCGCGAAAAACGGTGCTGTCTGGGCCGTTTATCCGAGTTCGCTTTATCCGAGGTGGTGTCCTAGTAGGAAATTCTGCATTATCCGAGTCTAGTCCGCGTCATCCGAGTTATTTTTAATTTTAGTTTTTTATAAATATTAGTTTATTTTTAATAAATTCAAATTGTTTAAATTATTATGGAATATTTACAATATTATTTTCCCGTTTGTATTAAATAATAATTGTTTAAACAATAATAATGTTAAATTGTAATAAATATTTAACAATTCGGATTATCCGAGTTTTCGCGTTATCCGAGGTAGGTCCGGTCCACATTAGCTCGGTTAACCGGAGTCCTACTGTATTTAAGTTTATTATTATAATATATATTTATTCTTCATAAATATTATAATATAATTTTCAATTCTTCGACAAAAAATCTTATCTCTTTCTTTGGTATAACGAAAACTAGTGAGGTGTGTAAACACCTTTAAAAAAACTCCCACGAAAAAAATGTCACATTTTAGATTTTTGACTGTTTTTGAACGAATGTTGAAGTCAACATGGCGAGGGTACCTATTAACTCCACTATTAATTACTTTTTTAAATTATTTTGCGTTCAATTACAGTAAATAAGTAGAACGGCCCAATTCCTTCAACCCCTTTTTATCATTCCTCAAAATTTTAACCCGAAATTTCTTCTCATTTCCGAAAATACTTAGAACTACCAAAAAATGACTTTGTCTCACATGGTCCTAAATTTAAATCAAATCAATACTTTATATATACCAATCGATTCGTCACTCTTGAAGTAAGGAAAACGATTTTATTATATATCACCTTAAATTTTTCTATTTAAAAATTTTTTCAATTAAAATAAAAAAATTGTAGGAATAGTGCGGTACACGTGAAATAAATTTTTTGCCGACAGTTGGCAATGGATACGCGCGCATCATGTCGTTCTATAAAATTGTATTCATTACGATGCGTGATTTAGCTATTACAGTATAGATTATAGTCGACGATAATTTTAAAGAAACTGCACACTAAAAAAGAAATCTTGATTTCAGCCTATTTTTGAGGCTGAATTTAAGGTGTAAACGGAGTCAGACCAATTAAAAAAGGACAGACTTATGCAAAATATATGGGCTTAATTTAAGGTGTAAACGGTTTAAGACTTTGTTTTTACTGTGTGTTCAATACAAATTCTATAGAACATTTTTTCCAAGACAACAAACATTTTCTAATAAATAAAAAAAATTGTTTTTTTTCGCTGTTTGAGAATTAAAAAAAAAATGTTTAACAAATAAAAAATAGAACAAAGTTTAAAAAGAGAGCGTTATTCCTGCGCAGGAAATTCTCGCGGAAAGTCGGTGGAGCACGTCGCGAATTGCCTAACGGTTGCCTCGACTGTTAAACTCTCTTACCAGTTTAATTCATAAGTATTAAAGAGGTATTATCGGCGGGGAACGAGGGATTACTTAATCGAAAGTGAGTAGTCGAGCTGTTCTAGGCTTGGCCGAGCAACTGGGTCGAGAGTGCGGTTGCTTCGACTCTATGTTAGCTATCCTATTCTCGCAAGTGTACTTAGCTCTCGTCTGTGCCTTACTTTTATATATATATATATATATATATATTGCTTACTTCGCGTACACAAGAAGAGCTAAAAACGTCAAAAATTGCACTCTCGATCGTGCCACGAGTACCGATCAGATTAGATACGTGCAAGGACGTACAATCGTCTATAAGGGTGTAATTGCAGCTCCTATATAGAATGCCGCTTACTATAAATACTAATATAAATTGTTCATACCTGAAAAAACATCTAATAAGAAATTATATTACGCATATATATATATATATATATATATATATATATATATATATATATATATATATATATATATATATATATATATATATATATATATATATATATGTATGTATATAAGCTATAAAAATAAATTAACTATTAGTAATATTTTATAAATTTTTAAGTTTTAATATTAATATAAGATTAAAAATTATTTTATGAAGGTAATAAAAATTAATTTTTTTTCTTCACTATAATCAATCAATAAATTCATGTACATTATTCTTTAGATTTTGTATTTCTGAGAAGGATGAATAATAATTATATATTAATAAATAATTATTATTACTATATAATAAGTTTTCTTTCTAATATTTCAGTTTGCGTTAAAAACCATTTTTAGTTTAAGGTTATGTTACATTCACCATCCTCCTTAATGTTGTTCTTGAATAATTTAATTTTAACTACCCGTGTGGAAACGTGATGTGGGCCCCCAGCGGGGGCCCTAATGGATCGCCCTCATGCCATGAAGGCCGCATATGGATGATCCATAGGGGCCCCTCATGGAAACGACATGCTCATCGATGAGGGCGCCCTTATGGGCCCTCACGTTTGCCCTCATCTTGCCCTCAAGTTTGCCATAATGTTTTTTAATCAATAATATTAATAATAAAAGTTAATTAATAATAAATAAGCTTAAGTTATGAATAAATAACATATTTATTTAATAATTATTCAATTTTAAATTAAATTCTTACTCAAATTGAATTTATTAATTAACGTTCTAATTAATTAACTGTCGGATATAATTAAAAGTAATAATAAATAAATTAATTAAAAAATTAAAAAATATGTAATTTATGCATACTATTAACGGATATTTTCATTTTTCAATTAATTCATACATAGAATTAATGATTAAACGCAAACCTGAGAAATAAATAAATCTAACGCATGGGGGGAATCGAACCTACGACCTACGGACTATGAGTCTAACGCTTTACCAACTACGCTACGCACGCTACTTCAAAACGAATGCTAACTTCTTGATGCTATTTAAACTTCAAAAATACCTAACAAAGAAAAGTGCTTAACATCATTTAGTTAAAGTTAAGATATTAAATTATATTTTCCAATCAAATGCAATTTATAAAATATAATTAATTATATGCTTTATGATTATTATCATGAATCATCTCAGGTGAATTTTCAAAAAAGTGTAAATATATTTTTATTAAAAACGCGTTTTTCGTTGTTCTGAATCATTATAAACATTAATTTTTTGGTGATAAAAAAATATTTGATTTTTGGACTTAGAAAATTTTGCTAATCGATCATGAGGGCGATCCATGCGGGGCCCCTCATGGATTCGCCATATGGTTCAGCCCTCATGGGCCCCCGCCGGGGGCCCCGAACTCTTGAGGGCAAGATCGTGGCTTTTTCCACACGGGTACATTGAAAAAATTAGGTTATTTTAATTTTTTTTTAAATATGTAACTATCCTTGGTTAAAAATGGGAAACAATCTGAATTATGGACAGGTTTTCTTCATCCGAAATTAGTCCGATTGAATCCGAAATTTGCCCGAATTGTGTATCTAGTGAATCCGGAATTAATCGCATAGGTCTAATCCGATCTCAGTCTCATCAAACGAAATTAGTGAATGCAGATTTCGGATTTACTAATTATTACATAGATTAGATTAATATCGTATTCAATAGGAGTATAATATTGCATTCACTAATTGTGTATAATCAGATTAACTTCGGATTTAACCGAACTAATTTAGTTTATGATTTGGCGAACGAATGAAAAAAAAATTCCAAACTTTGGCATTTGAGGAGTTTGTATATATATATATATATATCAGTGTTGGGTAGTAACTAGTTATTAGTAACTAAGTTACTGAAAAAGTTACTTTACTTGTAACTTATAACGTAACTAAGTAAATTTTTTTAAAAGTAACTTGTAACGTAACTTAGTTACTATTTTAATAGTAAGTTTTAATTTTAAGTTATTTCGTTACTTTCTTTGCACTTTTTTATTGCTTTAAAACTTAATAATTTCGTATTTCAAAAAAAGCGCGCAAAGTGATAGCAAAAGAACATGGCCTCTGCACTCGCATGCTGCGCATTGTACCGAGTGTTTACATTCTGTTTTTCAAGTTCTCGTGTTCCATCGTATTCGTTTGGTTTACTGTTGCAATATAGGGGATTTACCTGCATCCCTCATAATAAAAGGATATCCATATCAATGGTCGATATCCTAGAATGGTCCCCAGGATATCTTGGGATATCCATAAAATATACCTAGGATATCCAAACAATAATAAATAAAGAATTTGAAACTATGCTTAAATGTCACAAAATTTGTTAAAATAACATAAATTATTAAAAAGTAATTCTTAAAAATGTCAAATTTAAAAAATTTTTAACTTTATGAAGAAGAATCTTAATTTTATTTACCTTTTATATATAAAATATTAAGAATAACCTTAATCTTGATGAACGTGTAAAAATGTAAACAAAAAAAAACATACGTTAACCACAATTAGAATTGTCAAAAGTCAAAACCTATAAACGAAACAAACGCAAGAACAACCAACTTCAGGTGTGGACAGAATGAAAGAAAGAAATTCACGATTATTATATGTAAAAGTTTCGGTATTTATATCAATTTCAATCAATTATTCTCATTATTAAGAATAATTGATTGAAATATTATCTTTACAGTATTTTGTAATATAAAATGTTTAATATAGTTGAAATAAAACATAATTTTATTAAAATTATTTTTCAAAATTAGCAATAATTAATTTTTTACATTAAAATTAAAAAAATAATAATTCATTATCATAATAAAAATGTATAAATAATTATGATTAATAACGAAAAATTTTAAATCGATTAATATGTAAATAATACTAATTTTTAATATTATAATTATTGTAAATAAAAATATAATAATTTATTATAAAAATGTGTAAACATTCTTATTAATAACAATTTTTTTTCATAGTGTGTATTTTAACATTTTTGAATATAAAATGATAAAATACTACATAAAATAATAATAATAATGTATGACTAAAAAATTTTGTTATTAATGAAAAATTATTTTTACAGTATTTTTTAAAAATATAATTTCTATTTATGTTATTAAAGTGTTCGTAAAAAGGAAAAAACTACAAGGCGCTTGCGCGCGCTTTTGTTTAGGTGGTACGTTTTAGTATCTGGGATACTTAAATGTGAATATCTTGGATAGTAGCATTTAATATATAGAATTAAATATCCAAGGATACTAAATCTGAGTATCTATAGATAGTTGTCGCATATTTAAGTATCTAATATATTTACTCGTGAATATACAGATACTAAATTTAAGTATCCATTTTTCTCCGTGTATTTTTTTCATGATTGAATCAAATTTGGTTGGCTCATTTACCATATTAATATCTCAAATCTGACCAAAGGATTTTAAAAAATACCCAAAAAAAAAAATTAAATAGTCTTTTTTCCAAATTTTTTTTTAATAAAAAAAATTTTTAAATAGAAGAATTTAAGGTTATATATAATAAAATCATATTCCTTACGTCAAGACAAATCGAATGGTATATATACAGTACCTATAGTTTCAATTTAAATTAAAAGAATTAACGAAAGTTAAAAAATAAAAAATTCACATTTTGGCAAAAAAATTGTCTGATTTTTTAAATTGAAGTTTATGTATGAAATAATTGTATTCCTTGCTTGAAAAAGAATCGATTGGTATATATAAAGTATACATTTGAGGTAAATTTAATAAATTAATGAAAGTTAAAAATAAATTCCCATTTTAGCTGAAAAAGTTTTTATTTATTTAAATTCAAGTTTAAATATAAAATAATTGTGTTCCTTGCAATGAAACAAACCGATATAATTGTAAATAATTATAAATTATACCTATATTATTTTTATTAATATTTAGAAATTTAGTCTAAAATGTGAATTTTTGATTTTTTAACTTCCATTAATTTTTTAAATTTAACTCAAATGTATACTCAAATGTTTATATTATTATATTTATAATGTATGTTTATTTTAATGTTAATGCTTTCTCCACGAGGAAGCAAATTTTTTTGCTGATCGTAAAGAGGAAGCAAAATGTTCATGTAATGAACATCTGAATTTACATCTTGTTTGCTCATATTTTTTTTAAATTTATATTTTATGTACTTGATATATTTTATTATTAATAAAAATAAAATATGTAGATAGATAGGTTTTACATTTCTATGATTTCTATTAGCACGCTCAGCAAATGTGACATTAGATAAAATATTTAATTTTCTTTTTTACATTAAAACACATAGTGTTATCTGCTATTGCGAGTATATAAAGAAAAGAATTTCATCAAGTTTTCATTGTTTCTGTTCCAAGTAACGTTGAAAATTTTGTCAATATTAATTTTGAAAAACATGAAGTATTTGAAAGCAGTTTTATTTGTTGCTTTTGTTAATGGTAAATATAATTAACTTTATGATAAATAAATTATTAGAAATAGAGAAGACCAAGGCAAATTGTTTAAATAGTCTTAAAATTTTTTTTAACGTTGCACATTAATGAAATGTTCATTTTAAAAATTCTTCTCATATAATGTCTTATAATAATAATAATTACTCTTATCATTTTTAGGTTATGTTTCGTTTGCTACAGCAGAGAAAAAACCATTCAAAAGTTATGCATTCACTGAATTGAAGCAATTATGCAATCAGCAGAATAAAAATTATGATACATTGACTAAGGCACGAAATATAACACAGACACTTATTCGTAACACTACTTCAAACTGTAACAGTACTACTAACCAACAATTAATTATAGATTTAGTTGATGATATACTCCCTTGCTTTGACAATGACAATAAACCAAACGAAATTGATTTAGAAACAATTTACGAAGATATAACAACAAAAGTATGCATTTACTACGAATTGGGTAATTATATAACATTATTTTTCTTAAGTTTTATTAATTAATATTATTTATATGGGTCAGACCATTATATTTCGAATAAAGTCGTTGCGGCCGAATTTTAGAAAAAATTTATTTTTTCAGAAATGATTCTGTATAATATTTAGGGAATGAAATAAAAAGAATTATGTAAAAAAAAATTTAGTTTTCTTAAAATATGAATTTAAAGTGGAAAAGGCAAAAGTGTCACTTTTTTAGCTATTAGAAAATATATAAAAAAACATAGAAAAATTATTAAAAGTGTAAAAAATATTATTGATTATTGTTTAAAATTGGTTGATTATTTATATTTTAATGATTAAACTACTAAATAAATTAAAATAATAGGTAAAATATGTTTTTAAAGTTGGTTCGTTAAATAACCTATAATTTTGCGATTTTTATCAACTAATTACATGAAAGCATAAATATTAAATTAAATAAAAACTCACCGAATATAGAGTATATTCTTGATGAAGTTTCAGATTTTCTTAACATTATAATTAATTTTACTTTAAATATACAATAAATATTAAGGTAATAATTTGGCACTTTCACAATAACTTTTAAATCACACCAAAATTTACACGCACCGAAAGTTTATCGTTTTGGTATCTTTTCCAGTTTAAATTCATATTTTAAGAAAAATGAATTTTTTTTATTTCATTCCCTTGATATTATACAGAATCATTTCTGAAAAAATAAATTTTTTCTAAAATTCGTCCGCAACGACTTTATTTGAAATATAATGGTCTGACCCATGTGATTTTTATATTTAAAAAAAAAAATTTTTTTCATGAGAAACAGATTTAATATGCGTAAATTTTGATATATATATTTGAATTAATTATTATAAAACACTTGGAAATTGTAAGAAAATAAAGATTCAGAGTGACAAAACTGTTTGGATTTTTAACAATTTTCAAGTATTTTATTGTAACTATTTCAACAAGATATCAATTTTCGTACATAACATTGTCGTTTTTCATTATTGGGACCTAATATTTGCAAATATGCTGGGTGGTGAAAAATGTAACTAGTTTTTCATAACTGTTTCTATTACTTGTAATTGTAGTTTCCCTTTCATTATTTTACCATCATGGATTCATATACACCATTGAAATCCGTCTATTTATAAAAATTTATAAATTTATTACATGAAATATAAAAGAATATTACTAGACATGATAAACATAATGAATTTGAGCGAATAGTATGATGACTTCCAAAATATTTTACTATTGATATTCGAATCATAATACAGTTATTTGTATCAAATTTCAGTCAATTTTAGGACGATTAATAGTCAATGCTTAGGAAATAAAAGCAGTTCATACTACAAATGTGGAAATACAATTTTGCAAAATAAACCTTTAGAATCTGACATGCTCTTCTTTATACTTGCAATGACTCATTCAGATAAAGAATGCAAGTAAGTTATAATTATTATTGTATATAATTTTTTATTTCTTAAATATAATATAGCATCAACAAAATCATATCAAGAAGAACCTTAGTAGGGATCATGAAACTTTGGTTGAAATTAATCAAATCTCACCGTGTTTCATAAAAATTACAAATTTTTTCTTTAATTTTTCTAAAGTACATATGTCATATAAGTTAAGTTTATTTTAGAAATTTTGAAAATAACTTTAATTTCTTATATTGTGTGGGTTATGTGTATTATACAAACAATTATTTTATTTACAGCTTATATACAAATTTAAATAAGTGCGCGATGGAGAGAGTTACTAATAAATGTAATTCCGAAGTTCATAAATTAAAAAATTTACAAAATAAATTTTTGCTCAGTATGAATTGTAAATACAATTTTAATTTAAATCAGTCAAACTTGACTAATGAAGATTTACGAATTCAATTACTTCCGGAACTACTTTCTAATTGATTGATTCAAATCATTTGTAATCTTTGTACTTAAAAGCATGATTGAAATATAATAATTGCAAAACCTCATAACGTCTCTTTTTTATTTATGAAAATAGTGCTATCAAAAATTCTATTAATTATAGATATTCTATTGTATAGAAATAATTTTAAATGATTAATCTCTATTTAATTAAAAAAAAATTAGTCTTAACACTAGAACTACCGATGGTACATTTTGTCCCGCGGCGCACGGTTTTTCTTGTGTATCTTTCGTTAAGGGTATTAGGTCCTAGTAAGGCAGCACCACCTATATCGAAACTAAAATTTTGGAAAATTATTTACAGTATTTACTTGAAAGCAAGACAATAAAATACTTTTTCCTTTAGGATAATTTATTATTGTCAAGAAATATACCAAGCTAAAACTTTTTTTGAGTTAAAACAATGAAAAAAAAAAATTAATGACGATAAATTAAATATGAGCATATTTTTTTACGAAAACTTTTCAGATATTTTCTCAGAAATAACAAAAAAAAAATACAATTATCATTTGGAGAATTAATAAACACTAAAAAATACACTAGCAAAGATTCACCAATCACGAAAATAAGAACAAAAACTTTTTTTTTAACATAACACATCAACACTATTTTACTGATTTTGACAGCCATTTAGTAGATAATAAATGTCACAAGTTATTTCGTGATTCTGCCAACAGGAGGAGATTGGCGCTAATAAAATTATTAGAAATAAAGAATACCAAGGCAAATTATTAAAATAGTCTTCAAAATTATTTTAACTCATCACTTTAATAAATTTTTGTTTTAGAAATACATCCTTCTCATATAATGTCTTATAATAATAATTACTCTTATCATTTTTAGGTTATGTTTCGTTTGCTACAGCAGAGAAAAAACCATTCAAATGTTTTACAAGCGCTGAATTGAAGCAATTATGCTATCAGCAGAATATAGATTATGATTCATTGATTAAGGCACGAAATATAACAAGACAACTTTGTTTCTAACTTTGTTACAACTTGTATAGATTCTGGTACTTTATATATACCATTCGATTTGTCTTGACGTAAGGAATATGATTTTATTATATATAACCTTAAATTCTTCTATTAAAAAATTTTTTTTATTAAAAAAAAATTTGGAAAAAAGACAATTTAATTTTTTTTTTTTGGGTATTTTTTAAAATCCTTTGGTCAGATTTGAGATATTAATATGATAAATGAGCCAACCAAATTTGATCCAATCATGAAAAAAATAAGAAAAAAATTCAATTTTTCTTAGGCAGACAATTTCATAGCTTCCACGAGGAAGCAAAAAATAAAACAATTTAAACAGTGTTTAAAATTTTTGTCATAAATTTCTCAGTTTTCAATACTTGACATTAAATATTGAAGGTCGCTATAGAATATTCGTCAATTTTCTATTTTATGAATTTAGTGCAATTATTATAGCTCTGAATATATCACATAAAGTGTAAATTTTGTAGAATTTTTTTTCCCTATAAAATATATATGAGGAAAAATTCCTGAAGTGATCCAACTTTAAAATTGAAGGTTTTCGGATCGGGATGAAATTTGCACAAATTTTAGTACTATGGGTGAGTACTTCAACAAGCAGACTTGCATGCACTCAATAATACACTTTCCATGCAGACAGGACAAAAAATGTTGTTCGCAGCACGGGCGCAAAAGATGATAGTGTCTCTGGCGAGATTATGAAGAAACCTCGGCGACCCTTGGTTACTCTAATCTCGCCTTCGCCACTATCACCTATTTTGCGCCCTTGATACGAAAACAACTATTTTTTACCCTCTAAAGGCACCCCACATTTCAAACATTTGTGAAAGTTTTCTATTTTACTGAAAAGGAGGTTTAGTATAGTGAATTTTTTTTGTTTTTCAGTAAGAAAGACGATTGTAACATTCATTTTTGCTTTCTTATGACGAAGCTTTGCATTCGTGACGTTTTTCGATTTTTTAAAATTGGGTTATATGGACTCATTTTCATCTAGAAAAAATATATATGAAGTCCTGAGCAAATGTCCAGATGTATGTGTGTGTATGTGTATGTCACAAAATATTGTGTACAAATTATCTCAGAAACGTTTTAACGGATTGTCCTGAAATTTTTTATGCTTCTTGTAATCATTAATACCTAAAATCTGACACAAGGATTTCCGAATATATTCACAACATTTTAGTTTTTACATTTTTTTCAAAATTTAAAAAGAAAATTTTTTTTCAAAATATTTTTTTCTTTGTAAATTTAATTTTGTTTAGTAAAAAAACTTATTTCTTGCATTAAAACGAATCGATTAGCCTATATAATGTTCATATTTTACTGAAATCTATAGATTAAATCATTTTTTTTGAATTTTTGAGAATAATCGTTTTTTGTATTTTTATGAAATAACTTTTTCTAATATAAAATTTTTAATTAATTCTTGTCAAAATTGTATTTCTGACATAAAAACAAATCGATTGATGTATAAAAATTTTACATTTTACTAATATTTATAAAATTGATCGCTATTTTAGTTGTAATCCATCTTTTAATTTTGAATATGTATGAGTGTATCATGATGAGGAAGCTACATGGTCATGAAATGAACACCTAGTTTAATTATGTGAAAAGAAATGTGAAAAAAGTTGTAAAAAAGTTTCTCAGAATTGACATTTTTTATAAAAATAATTGAAGTTTTAAAAAAAAATTAACCAATTTCAAAAATTCCGATGAATTTTGAAAGCTAAATAGATGAGACAAAATTTCTGAAGTGATCCAATTAAAAAAAAAAATTTCTTAAATCGGGCAGCAATTTGCTTAATATTTAGTACTATGGTTAAGTACTTCAACCTTAAATTATTATTAATTTTTATCAAAAATTGTTTAGAGGGGGAGAGGATTAAAATCCTCTGTTCATATTTCACCAGAATTTTAATCCTCTCCCCCACTAAACAATTTTTCATAAAAATTAATAATAATTGGAAACTATTGGAAAACAGTTTTGTTCGTTGTTTTCGTCAGTGGTAAGTGTATAAAAATTATATTAGAAATATTAGGTACAAGATTTAAAAAAAAAACTATTTTTAACAATTTTAGAATTTTTTGTTTTTGTAAAAATAAATATTTTTAAAAATCAAAAATTAAGTTTTCTGAGGAGGTTTAATTTAAGTGTTAATTTCTTTTTTATTATTTCTTAGAATTTAAAAACTATATTTGATTCCAAAAAAGTTGAAGAAAAATAATATTTAGTCATTATAGAATTTTTTTCACAATTTTTTTTTTTAGAAATTTTTATTTTCTAGTAGTTTGTTATTGAATAATAAATAATGGTATCGCAGCACGATTGTTGATTAGATTTATTGCTTATGTATTTCAAAGGCTATACGCTTGCTGAATAAATAAATTTTATTTTTTAAAAATAATAAAATTTTTATAAAATCCACTAAAGAATACAAATTTGGAGCGTAGGAATATCCTATATATATTAAATTACTTACAATTTTCATTTCAAAGAATTTTATTAAATAGAATATTCTTTTAGACCAATTTTAATTTTTCTAAATATCATTTAAAAGAATTTCCTATTAATAAAATGTTTATTAAACAGAATTTGTGGATTAAAATTATTTTTCAAATTATTTTTTAACAGAATTCAATTTTTTATAATTTTTCTTTACTTAACTGTTTATTTAAAAAATTTCTAATTTAATCCGATTTTAATTTAACAGAATTCTTATTCAACATAATTTTAAGTGAGTCAATTTTTTAAATGTAAAAATTTCTAATTCGCAGAATCTTTATTTCAAAGAATTTTTATTTGATATAGAATTTTTAAATCGCATAATTTTCATTTAACCGAAATTACTAATGTGCAAAAAAATTTCGCTCGAATTTTAAAATCGACCAATCACAAATTTCTTGATATTATCTGATTGGTTAATTTTAAAATTCGCTCTAAATCTACGAAGCTGAAGTACGCAACGTTTATATAAACGATTTTCAAAGAAATAATTTTTTAAAATAAAAAATTCTATCATTTTTTGCCTAAAAATTATTTTATTATAATTTGTTGATTAATAAAAATTACAAGAAATATTTTTTAGACAAAAAATTATAGAATTTTTCATTTTAAAGAATTATTTCTTTAAAAATTTCATTTGCTAAACTGCGTGCTTCAATTAAAACTGCATTATTGTCTTTACAAAATTGACTGAATTCAGTCAAATTGAAACTGCTAAATGGCTTTTACTCTGCTGTTGTAAACTAAACATAGCATGTAAATGATAAAAGTAATTATCATAGTTTCAAACATGTTTTTTCTTTTTTTGAAAAATGTTATTATGTATTTATTATAATAAAATGATTATAATAATATTAAATTTTTATTTAACAAAATTTTATTTTACATACTTTCTCATTGTCCAACTGTTTATATTTAAACGAATTCTAATTTAATCCAATTTTATTAATTTAGCCGAATTTTTATTCATTATAATTTTAAGTGAGAAAATTTTTTAAATGCAAGAATTTCTTTAATTTGATAAATTTTGATTTCAAAGAATTTTTATTTGACTAATTGTTATTTAATAAAATTCTTAAAGCGCATAATTTTCATTTGACCGAAGTTAAAAATGACAGAACAAAAAACAGACATAAAAGATTTAGACGAAACTGAAGTACGCAACGTTTATATAAACCATTTTTAAAGAAATAATTTTTTAAAATGAAAAATTCTATAATTTTTTGTCTAAAAAATATTTCTTGTAATTTTTATTAATCAACAAATTATAATAAAATAATTTTTAGGCAAAAAATGATAGAATTTTTTATTTTAAAAAATTATTTCTTTGAAAATCGTTTATATAAACGTTGCGTACCTCAGCTTAGTAGATTTAGAGCGAATTTTAAAATTAACCAATCAGATAATATCAAGAAATTTGTAATTGGTCGATTTTAAAATTCGAGCGAAATTTTTTGGCCCATTAGTAATTTCGGTTAAATGAAAATTATGCGATTTAAGAATTCTATATCAAATAAAAATTCTTTGAAATAAAGATTCCACGAACTAC